ACTAGAGAGTAAGCTTGAGATAAGGTCACACTTTCTCTTGTTAGAAGTTGCCGTCTCAAAATATCATACTCATAATTCAGACAAGCTAGCAACTCAAACACCCTATTAGTTTCAACCTGCTTTCTGTAGGTCTGTGCATCCTTCTGACTTTCCCACTCAAATGTTTCTAAATGATCAATCTTGTGCCACAAGTATTTCAAGACTGAAAAATAAACCGAGACTGGTTTCTCTCCTTGTTTAAGGTTATTTACTTTACATTTCAGCTCCTAGGCCCTAGCAACATTAAGGGGTTGGGAGTAAGTCTCTTTCATGATATCCCAGATTTCCTTAGTCGTTTTTGCCCATAAATAATTTTGGCTGATATGTGGCTGCATGGAGTTGCATAGCCATGTCATAACCAAATAGCTTTCTTGAACCCATTTGGCATATACTTGGTCCTCCTTGGCTGGTTCCTTCACATCCCCCAGTAAATAACTTAGCTTTCCTCTGCCCCCAATTGCCATCATGGCTGATTGGCCTCACTCCAAGTAGTTTGATCCATCAAACTTAACAGTGGTAATCTGAAAGCTACTTTCAGACATACTACCGACACCACCAGTTCCCAAAAAGCTTTCCCTTGGCCTTTAAACTCCATTCTTTGTTAAGGGTAAAAAACACTCTTTTATCACTGGGGAAGGGTAATCCCTTCCAGAAACTGCTACAACCGAACCTACTTTGGTAAAGGTCAAACAACCCAGAACAAAAAACTGCTCTGATGTTCTTTCAAGAATAAAGACACCTTGGTCTGTAAGACTAAAACTAAAAAACTGCTGTTCCAGAATTGGTCGAAGTCTAGGATTCAAGGCCTTATACCTTAGAACCAGTCGTAGGTCAAGAAACACCAAGGTCAGACCAAAATCAACTAGTCTAGGGTAAGATCTCTTCAGCCACATTTCTTAAAATCACCAGAAAAACTGATCTTTCAATAGGTCAAACACAAAAGGCAATCCAAGAAGGGAGATCCCTCAGCTGCACCTCTAAAAAACAAGAAAGAGTGATCTTTTTGATTGAGATCTCTCAGCCGCACCTCTTTGAAAACAAGAAAGAATACTCTTAATAAATCAACCTTAAAAAATAAAAAAAAAACTTACTTCAGTGGAACTCTAGCCGCCACCTTCAAAACAAATCTGAACCCTAATCTTGAAGGTTCTTTCTTTCGTCAGACTCTTCCTGATTGCTGGACATCCTCCAATGCTAGCCGCACACTGCCAACAATCTCCAAGACTCAGCCAATGGTCTTAATTTTCTGAAAACTTCCAGTCCTAGGAAATTCTTATGCAGCCGGCCATGTTAGGCTATCGCAAGAATCCCTAGGTTGGCTCTGATACCATGTAGTCAAATAAGACTACTAATAAGTCAAAGATAGAGTGTAATTAATAAGAAACCGAGAAGAGAAGAGAGAGGGAAGGGAGAAAAGGAGAAGGGGAGAGTAAGAATTCAAAGGAGAGATTTGGAAAGGGAGAGAATGCATAATCTGCCGGCCCCCTCTTTACTATTTATATTAATTCTTAAATAGAGATAAAAGGGCTGAAATATCCTTATGCTTACATGGCAGAATTAAAAATAATAAAAGACTTAAGACTCAAACTACTAATTGTAGTAAGACTGAAATAACTACTAACTATCAACTAATGACTAACACTGACTGTAGACCTATGAGTACAATAGGTGGGGACCACATCAGTGGTCTCTACAGTCCCGATGCAAGCCATTAGCTTATTTCAGTAAGGATCTCCCCCCTCGAGCAAAAAATCAGTCCACCTATGTTAAGGAACTGATGGATGTGGTCTTAGCGGTTCTCACATGGCAACACTATCTCCTCGGTCGGCGCTTCACTATCCGAACATATCAGCAAAGCCTTAAATACTTGTTGGAACAGCGCATCCTCATAGAAGAACAGAAAAAATGGGTATCAAAATGATGTGGACAGTAAGACAAGTTACATGCAGTACCTCAAGTATACAGCAATAAGCACAAGAAATACCAAGCTGAAAACAACAAAATAAGTTGGATTTTTATGGGTTTCAGACCTAAACCTGAAGTAAAACTCCTCTTGGAACAGTTCCGCTACAGTAACAATGGCAGCAAGCTGGCCTCCCACACGGACACGCAGTGATGGAGAGATTGGAAGGTGCCAAAACGGGTCGACTCCTCAAAACTCAAGCTCCCAATGCTTGAAAACCCTAGCTGGGGCTGAGATACAGCTCAAACAAGAGAGAAAGAACCAAAAGACCCCTACAGAAACAACCCCCTTCTCTTTTATAAGACTCACTGGCTTGGTGGACAAGCTAGTTAAAATATTTACACATAAGCCCGTAGAATGTTTCCCTCTCACCAGCAACTCCTTAAGAACAAAACTAACTTCAAATGAACACCTAAAAGATAACTTTTGTTACAAAAAGACCCAAGAGACCAAAACCCAACAGAAATGCACCCAACTACCCCTGACCAAAAACCTAACTTATAAAATAACGAAAATACCCCTGGTCCTAAACTGTCAACAAAGCTACCCAAAGACAACAATTTGGGATCCCACTACAAAAAACATGAAAAACAGAATACATTCACACATTTCTTTTTTTTTTTCCTTTTTTCTTCTTTTTTTGCCTCATCACAAAATTATTAGGGTTTGATTACATAATAGAATACAAAACCAGGGCTTCCAACCGGGTAGCAGACGCCCTGTCAAGGCAAGATGAGTTACAGGTGATGGTTGAAATCAGACCGGCTTATCTATTATTGGAAGCCCTTAAACAAGAGGCTTTGGTCAATCCAGAACTAGAGAACATCAAGAAGAAATGGGCTGAGGATCCGATCCAAATGCCCAGTTACTCGTTGAAGGATTCCTTATACTATAAGGGGATGTTAGTCCTACCACCAAAATCCCCACATCTGAAGGATCCCCTGCAGCTTTTTCACTCGTCCCCGAAAGTCGGCCACTCAGGAGTATTGAGAACTTACCAGCACATTGCAACTCATTACTACTGGAAAGGGATTAGGAAACAGGTCCAACACTTTGTGGCCACCTGTCCAACTTGTCAGCAGCAGAAATACGACACTCAGCAACCTGCCAGACTTCCTCAACCTCTCAAGATACCTGATGAAGTCTGGGAGGATCTCACCATGGACTTCATCATAGGACTGCCGCCCTCACAAGGCAAGACTGTAATAATGGTGGTGGTGGACAGGCTAAGCAAATATGCCCATTTTGCTACTCTGTCTCACCCATTCATAGCGGCACAGGCTTGTTTGTTAGAAACATTACCAAGTTGCATAGGACACTAAAGTCCATTGTCTCCGATCGGGATCCTCTATTCATGGGAAAGTTTTGCCAGGAATATTTTAAAATTCAGGGAACCCATTTCGCACATTCCACCAGCTATCATCCCTAGTCCGACGGGCAAACGGAAGTCGTTAACAGATGCATTGAAACTTACCAGAGGTGCTTCGCTGGACAGAGACCAAAACAGTGGCTGAAATGGTTACCGTGGGCTGAGGTATGGTACAACTCCACTTACCATGTGATCACGGGTATGATGCCGTTCAGGGCTTTGTACAGGAGGGACCCTCCCACTATTCTCCCCTACGAATCAGGTTCTACATCAATGGCTGCAGTGGATGAATACCTCTCTAGCAGAGACTTAATCTTACAAGAATTTAAAAGAAACTTACAAAGAGCTCAACAGGTTATGAAGGCTACCTATGATCACAAACATCGACCATTGGAATTCCAGTTAGGTGACATGGATTACTTGAAGCTGCACCCCTATCAACAGACTACGGTGGCTAAACGTGCTTGGCAGAAATTGGCACCTAAGTACTAAGGTTCCTTCAAGATCCTAGAAAGAGTCGACACAATCGCCTACAAGCTCAAACTGCAAGCCTCTTCCAAGCTCCAACCAGTTTTTCATATATCCCTACTCAAGAAACACATTGGCAACATAGAGAAATCTCATACCACTCTTCCAGCTTTCTCTGAGGAAGGAATTATGATCATAGAGCCCAACAAGTTGATTGATTTCCATTGGGTTCGCAAGGTGAAGTACTACATAGAAGCAGCTTTGGTTGTGTGGAGCAACCTGCCTGAAGAAGAAGCAACTTGGGAGGAATATGCTCGCCTTCAGCAAGAATTTCCCCACATCAACCTTGAGGACAAGGTCAGTTTCAAGGAGGGGGGGAGTTAATAGGCAAACGGCTAGGCCCAGCACCACCCATCGGCCCACCAGCATGATACCCATGCAGCCTTATCCGAAGACCTATGTGAGGGGACCACGCCAGCAAGTTAGTTACAATTGAGAGCCTGCCCATGTGATGTAAGGCCTATAAATAACAGAATATCAGTAAAGAGGATCACCTTTTTGAGCACCAAACCTTTCTTTTATTCATCCTAGCAAACTTGTAAAAAATTCTCTTGCAAAAGGTTTTACCTCTTGAACCCATATTGCAAGAAGGCCAATGATTAAAGGAGCTTGCCACACTATTGGGAGGAGCCCAATAGAAACTAGCACCAAACATCATATCAAGGAAGTATTGCCAAAGAGAATGAACCACCTCACAATTAATTAGTGACTAGTTGAATCACCATCCTTCATGCACATGACACCATATTTTGATTGTTTTTAGTCTAATTCATTTATGCAATTTAATATCCAATTATAATCTGAATTTGATTCAAACCCACTAGATATCCGGTGGATATGGTCCAATTCAATTTTGAATATAAATTAACCAAATTTGGATCTACCTATATCCAATTTTATTCAATCCATTTACAACCCTAAATATGTCTTAAAATCTTATTGTCATCATAATTAATTTATATCATATAAAATTATTCTAAACTAAAGCATCAAGAAACAGATCTTCTAGTAATGATGCATCAACAAACAGAAGTATGGTGGCAGGGATTAGATGGTATGAATAATGTAGAAAAAACATGGAATGGATGTAAAAGGAGTTACCACAAAGCCAATCTCTAAGTGTCCCATTAGGCATGAATTCATAAATCAACATCTGCACATACACCAATGGCACTGGCAGATGAATAAGTTTCCCCTCCAATAGAAGCCAAAAAGAATCTTTAAAGGCATCAGAACTTTCAGTCATTCTACACTTATTTAATTTAGAACATAAAAACAGCACCCATCCAAGTACATATATGTAGTATAGAGGCATGCTTAGGAAACCTAAAATTTTTCACCATGCTCATATTGCATTGGGAAAGACAAAGATAAATACCATAAACTAAGGTACTAAGCTTAGTGTATCACCATTATCAACATCAAAGAGTAGTATTGTGATAAAAGATCACAGATTATTTCTTTTACTCTCACCAGATCAGTAATAATGTATGAAATTCTGGAGAGCCATTTTTTTTTATCAAAAGAAATGCACAAAACAATAAATAAATGGCTTTGTCTTTCTGACATAAAACCCCAGTGAAGCAACAAAGCAACGCTTGTGGATAGCTCAATGCAAATAAACATGAAATTTAAATTTGGTTATGCTAATCAACTTCCGCATTATTACTACTACTACTACTTACCAACAACAACAACCATGAAAGCCGAAGGGAATCTCTCAAATAAGAAAGCCAACCCGTAACAGTACCAACAGGTATAAAAACTAGAGAAATCTAATCTGGGTGAGAGCAACCAATATATTCTGCTCTCCCCACGCTGTTGAAGTCGAAGTTGGATATATCTGCATTGGTATAATATCTAGATCAGATCAAATAATTCGGTTGTGTATTTTCATTTGAGTCTGGGACCTGGGTTTTCCATTTAAGATCTTTTTGTGCTCTGTGTGAGAGGGAGAGAGTTAGTTGGAGTGAGGATGGAGTGCCATACCAGTGGCTGACAATGTGTCAAGGATAGTGGATGAAGAATTGCCAAAGGAAGGCAGTGAGTTATTTCATTGCAATGCCATGAGACCAGAGACAGCTAGAGGATGATTCAGAAGAAGGTGGAGAAAGGGAAAGGGCTTTCCTTGGAGGAAAAGATGGAAGTGAAAAGGAAGTTTGGTAGTGTGGAAGTGAGAGATAGGAAGGGCAGAAGTAAAAAGTGACAGCTCATGCGGTGTGGCTTAGTTGATAGGGAGGTAGTTGTCTCGATAGAGTTGAGTCATTCATTTAGTGGGCTGAAATGGTAAAGCTTGTACTAAATTGTACTCTTTTTTTTTAAGGCAAAATACCTCCATATCATTTTTTAAGAAAATGAAATGCAGCTTATTTTTCATGTATAATATTAATGAATGATTCCTTACGACGTGCAACACAAAGGAGCTAATATTCAAAGTTATAAGTCAATCACTTAGACCATGACTGAAAGCATAAGAGAGAATGTTTTATGTTTCTCACTCTTTATGGCAAGAACCTGAGGTGCCAAAATGTGTGTTGTGCTTGATTTTTGTGTCATTTTAAAGATTATTTGATAATACCAAACTCAACCCAGCCTTAATCCCAACTATTTGGGGTTGGCTACACAAATATTGTCCTGCCATTTTGCTCTAACAAGATCCACATTATCAGAAAAATTATTTGACTATCCATGCAAAAGTTCAAGATCATGAAATGTAATCACGTCCAGTCCAAACTAATTCACAGGCCAGGGGAAAAAGAAGTTAAGCATCTAATAGTTCATAAATAGCATACATCATACCTGTTCCTCTTGTTCATCACAATATCCAATCAATGAAACAAGGTTTCGGTGATGCAACCTTGACAACAATTCTATCTCTGTCAAGAATTCTTTTTGACCCTGTAAGGAACCTCTTTCTGCACGTTTTATGGCTACAGTTGTGTTGTCTGCTAGAATGCCTTTGTAGACCTTTCCATACCCTCCTTGGCCAACTTCACTTGAGATACTGAAATTGCCTGTGGCTAGTTGCATTTCTTTAAATGTGAAGAATCTGACACCATCCATTTTGACTGTAATTTTTGATGCTGAAAAAAACAACATTAAAGACTTTCACACCCATAAAAGTCAATGTATTAAATATTTTACTATAACCATCAATTTAATTTGTAGTACAAAGGGGGCTTACACAGATTCTTGCTTGACATCCTGTAATGGTGTCTAATTTTTCTTTTCGCAACAACCATTGCAATAACTGCAGTTATCATGATTGCACAAGCAGTGGACCCTAACACAATGGCAGCCAATGCTCCCTTGCTTATCCTAGATTCACGAGACCCAAGATTCACTGTAACAGTAAGATCAATCATAACTATCAATTTGGTAATGTTAAATAAATGTAGATGTGTAATCACAGAAGGATGAATACAGAATTTGAATGGGTGTGAAGACCCATGATCAATCATAACTATCATTGTGGTTGATGGCAACAATTTGTGGCTTCTATCTTTCTTATAGAAAATAACTGGTAAGTTGGTACATTTGACTCTTGAGAAATAACATAGTAAGTCAATTTACAAACAAGGTGTATAGTTTTAGAAAAAAAGTTAAACTCAAAAAAGATAGTCTTGAGAACATACGACATACCATTTGAATAAGGTCCTGTGAGGATGAAGTTGAGCAGTTCATATGGTCCAAACAAGTCACTACCAGGAAATTCCCATGTTGTGAATATGCCTCTAATTCGTAGAATCTCACTTGTATTAAACTTGTGTGAATTACCATAAACCATAGGGAAAAACTTTAAAAGCATCTCTAGCCTAGGACCTTGTTGCCAAATAAATGAATCGATTGATATCTGATAAAGGTCCAAATTGAGACTATTGGCCAGATAATCCTTGAAAAGGTCCAAATATGGAGGAAAATAAGAGAAGCTAGGGCTTTTCAGACGATATCTAACTACAATAGGTGCTGCACAAAGACATGGCACAGGAGATGTTGGAACATATTCATAGAAAGCATCTCCAGGGCATGCGTGAATTCGACAAGTGCCTGTCGTATTGTTTGACCTTCCAGGTGTCTCATCACTTATAGCTTCAGATTCACAGAACTGGATCACATTTTGTTTGTTCACATTGTTGCAGACAGGATTCCCTTGAAGCCTGGACCATCAATGTAGTGAAGGCAATCAAGCTAGTTTCAATGGAAGAAACATGGAAAATTTAAAGGAAGAACTTAGGGAAAGTAGTTTTCCATTAATTAAGAATCCAGTCTGAAGAAATCAAATTTGTTTGGACTACAAAGGTCAACTTAAAGCATAAGACAACTCTTGCCGATCATATATAGATATATCAAAGAAGGTAGAATATAATTGATTGAAGAATGTAATGACCATTATTACCCATGAAATATAGCAATTGTATGACAAAGTATTTTGAAATTTGAACATCATTTATAGTTTTTTGGTAGTAACTAAAAAAATATTGAAATAAAAGTAAAGGTAAATCAAAACAGTGACAACAGATCACCGCCGCCCCCCCCCCCCCAAAAAATGCTAACCAGAAATCAGCCTTATACATTGTTGGATTGAAGTCTTTGTATGTATGAGTATTCGGCTGATAAGAGTTCTTATTAGCCTATACTTATGTTTAAGTTGTCCTGTACTGGGCCTWTGTTAATGGGCCTAATCCTGTTTAATGTTTTAAGTTGTCTGGGTGTCCCATCACTAATCAGGGGCATTCCAGTAACTTCCTGTATCATTGTACTACATCATAATATAAATAATAGTACTGTCGACTGAGCTATTCAGTTCGACATTCATAGCATATTTGTGGTGTTCTCCTCTCCTCTACTTCAAGTACAGCTCTCAAGATAACATACATCACTACAAAACATTAAAATAACCATGCCCACCACCCATTTCAAGGGACACCCAAACTCCAAATGAATCTTTTGACACATCTCTGAATTATGGAAGGATCAAAATCCAGTTCAGCAATTTTGAACCAACCATTAAAAAGATCTTCATCCTGTTGTTTGTTTTTCCTTCAAAGATTCTCCTATTTCTTTCTTACCATAGCTCCCAACATACTACAAAAGGAACACAGCTTCAGAAAATTTTTGCCTTTTTACTTCCTTGCAAAGAAGGCCAGCATGCGAAAATCTCACTAGGCAAACATGGGATCCACATCTCTAAGTTAAATAACCAAAAGAAGAAGCCCCAAAGAAATTGTGATAATGTGCAATAAAACATAGATGAAGCACATCTTCTTCCTTTGATTCACACAAAACACACTTGCTATCCATCTGATTTTGCACAAGAATGCTATTCAAAGATACCAGCCATGCAAAAGCCTCCACCACTGATATTTCAACCTGATTTCTTACAAGGCTTTATAAAAAGACCTCACTATAAACCTGCCATTCAGAAATTCCTTCCACCATCTTTCATCTGGTCTGCCAGTGTTGATCTCAACTTCTTGTAGTTTGGACAGCAGTTGAATACACTCCACCTCTCTATCTAGCAGAAGTCTTTTGAATTTTGGAGTCCACACTACTGAAGCTTAACTTATTTCATAACATATTTTATCAGCAACTGTAAAATTCACTCATTACTTAAAAAGTGTATTACAACAGCCAGGAAGACCCCCAGCCACCCTTTTTAGATTTATAAGAATATTCCTTTTTACAATTTAGCCCAGAAAAAAAAATTTCCCTAAAAGTTGTTCCTTTTTGAGGATGTAACTGCAAATGACTTGTATAGGAAGTGGAAGGAGATGGCAAGCTCAGCTCCTCATGCTGCTATCATCAGATGGTCTTGGTCCTTGCCAGTTCTTGGTTTCAGTAAGCTGAATTTTGATGGTAGTAGTGAAGGAAACCCTGGTCCCTCAGGCATTGAAGGGGTCTTTAGGAATTATGAAGGAAGAATTTTAGCATTTTTCTCAGGACCAATTGTTGTTGGTGATTCCTTGAGGACTGAAATTTTGGCCGTAATGGAAGGTATTATCAGGGCCAAGGAGTTGAATATTCGGAAAGAGCAAAAGAACAGAGAAAGAGAAGAGGAGGCAGGCCACAGGAGAAAAAGGTACAGAAAAGTCACAACCACAACCCTAACCTATATACATCTATATGGAAACATGTAACAAGTTGACAACCATCTTGGTAATCATTCTTTCTGGTGAGGATTTGGCCTCTTCTATTCAATTTCAATCTTACGTGGGGGATGGAGGTGAAGTTTGTTAGAATGTTAGAGTGATGTTCGGCTGATAAGAGTTCTTATTAGCCCAGTCTTATGTTTAACTTATCTTGTAACTGGGCCTGTGTTAATGGGCCTAATCCTGTTTAATGATTTAAGTCATCTGGGTGTCCCATCACTAATCAGGGGCATCCCAGTAATTTCTTGTACCTT